TGATATTTGAAAAAAACCAGAATTACAGAGTGAAAACGGGCTCGGAGGTGATTGAATCTCTGAGTTATGAGGCCACTGACTACCAAGGGGGTTCGGTTTCTTGTCCAGATGCTAATGAGGGCCTGACTCAGCATGGGACACAGGTCTTTGGGCTCCCAGTCTGGAGCTACTACTTGTGACAGTGGCCAAGGCGCTGAGAGAGGAAAACGAAAGTGGCCAGCAGAAGTCTCAAATACCCTCTGAAATGACAACGCTCCTCCAGAGGGACACACGAAATTCTGACTTATCCACAGTTCTTGGGGGGGTGGGGGAGCCAATAAATAAAGAGAACGAAACATGTGCTTGACAGGTCTCCATGTTTCCTCCTCGGCCAGCTTGGTAAAGTTGTTCTTAGGTTTTCAAAAATTCTAACGGGAGCATTCTGAATTACTCGTCACATAAGTGGGTGCTTTTCGTTTCGTTGGTGGCTGATGGGTTCACCAGAATGCCTCTGATACAGAGGTGACGCTCGGAGATAGTTTCAGGGGCTGTTGTTGCTCTGACGTGATTTAAGAATGTGATTTAAGAAGACTGATCCTGACGACTGTGCTGAGAGACAGAGATAAGATGGCTTTCAGCTCCTCCTTCAAAAAGGCCAGACTTCTGAGTAGTTAAAATAAATCTCTCGCTTTTCAGCGGAGTTGGGAGGGCACAGAACAGAATCTTATCATCTTGTAAAGAATTTTTAAAAACTCTAAATACTGCATAGATATATTTCAATTAATACCACACAGCTGTCCCTCAAAGTTGATGGCAAAGCAAATCCCACGTGTGCCTGGGAACTTTACAAATTAGAAATTCATCTGAACAGAAACAAAGCCATTCCTGAAACCGTATTTTAAAATTATATCAGAATGCCGCAAACCTTTTTACTCCTCAAATATAGTTTTAAACCACTGTAAAGAAGTCATAAAAAGTAGCCAGGCCCTGTCCTATTCCTTGAAATGGTTAGCCATTGAATAATTCACTGCTTTACTCGTTACTTCTACAAATAATTGTCCAGAAGCCGGAGAAGCATGCCCCACTGTTAAGGAGCCAGAAATCACGTACATGAGAGGAAACTATCTCTCATGTTGTATTTGGTCTTTGAACTTAACCTCTATGCAATTCTCCCCTATCCCAAGGAGAACCTTTCCTTTGAAGAACATAAACTTTTATCTGTTTATATCAAGAGGTTAAACTTAATTTATTTGAACAGATATTCACTGGACTGTGACAGTATGGAACACGATTTCCATCCTCAGGGGGGTACTCTTTAACTAGCAAGGTAAAGAGGTTTGCATAGAGAAGAAATGCAAGGCAGACTCGCACATTCTATGACCCAGGGCACAAATATTTTAACTAATTTATTACCTGAGGATTATTGTTGTTAATGTGTTTAGTGTCCTGAGGCAGACCAGTTTATTTTTATACATGACGCTCTCTGGGACTAATGAACAGAAAATTATTTTAAGTACTTAATTTACATTCTAAATTAGCTTTTGGTACAGTAGATTTTTAATCCGTGTGTGCCTTCACGAAGTGAGGAAGCTTTCAATGTGCTGCTTTTTAAGGAAACTGGATTTTAGTCTGCATCACAGAGGTTTAAAAGGTAATGTTTTTTACCTATCAAAAAATTCAAGACACAAATCCTTTGACCCACATTCCCCAGTGTTAGGACTCAAACCTACAGATATGATCCCAAATACCTGCCAAGAATAGAGAGAGAATCACTGGACTTTTTTTTTTTTTGTGGGGGTAATAGCAATTTGAAAAATAGGTGACTGCTTAAATAAATTATAGCATATCCATATGATGAAATACTATACATAAATAAAAATAGAAGATTTGCATGTGCTGCTGTAGAAAGAGCACCAAAATACATTAATAAATCAAAAAAGCAAAAGATATATATGTAATATAGGTAACATGTTAAAAATGAGTATAGTAATAGGAACATGGAGATATGCAAAATATTTATCTGAAGGAAATCAAAGTTGCAGGCTGAGGGGAAGAATAAAGGGTGGGATGTGGGGAGGGAGATTCAACCTTCCCTTTCTTGCAGCTAAAAAGTTTAATCTTAGACATGCATTACTTTATTATTATTATTATTGTTGTTGTTGTTGTCGTTAATGGGTTATCTGGGCAGGGAGAGAATCAGTTTTTCCCCCCTTTTTCTTCTCTGCAATTAAAAATTATTCTAAAGAATCTTGTATTAAAAAAAACACCCACACAAAACATAACAACTAAAAAAAAATCCCAGGAATTACGCTACTGATAAAAAACAAGTGATAAGGCCAGACAAGACATAAAAAATTGTTTTAAATGTGTCATTGAGTTGGCAAACTCTAAGAAACGAGGTTGCAATAAATGTATTTTTAGACGAGTAAGAATGAATTAGATGGACCTTAACTACGGAACATAAGAGATATTCTAAAGTGCATGTTTCGGATAAAAGGGAAATCATTTCAGATGTCAAGGTCAGAGATGCAAAAATGAAGAGTGAAGAAAGATCAGCAGATGTGCAGATTGAGTGCGATTCCAATTAAATCCCCCAGCAGATACTTCTGTGGACTCTGACGAGCGGAACCCGAAATTTACATGGAAAAACAAAGGTCCAACCACAGGCCGAGAGTTCTTTTTCTCTCCTAGAGAGAAAAGACGTCTCTTACGGCATAGTAAGACTTTTAAAATTAAAATAACAAAGCCGGTAAATAACTAGCACAGCTAAAAGCAAAGAGACCAACGAACAGAATAAAGACCCCACAAATAGGCCTTTGCACACATATGAAAACTTGATTTATGACGGGAGAGGGCACTGCAGATCAGTGGGGAAATGGAGGGAATGTTCCATTAACGGTACTGAGACACTATCAGCAATAAAATGTTATTAAAATTTACTACATTAAGTTTAATTTCTGTTCATCCCATGACATCATAAAAATAAGATAAGCTAAGAACTGGGAAAAAATACTTGCAATACATATTGCTGAAAAATCACTGGCATCCGGAAGAATTCCTATAATCCACAACGGATGACCCGGAAGAAATAAGGGCAGTGGACACAAACAGGGATATAATGGAAGAGGAAACACGGAGGTCCACAGATACATTAGAAACACGCTAGACTTCATAAGTAAACGGTAGCTTTAAATTAAAATTTAACACACAAGTGATCCGTCATAAAACCACCACTTTGAAACATTTTTAAAGCTGGAGAATACTAAATGTTGTAATGATGAAGATATAGAGAGAGTGATGTGGGCCCTCATCTCTGCTGGTGGGAGCGTAGGTTTATAGAAACAGCTGGAAAACAGTTAGGGGTTCCTTAGTAAAGCTGAATGGAGGCAAACCCCACGATGCAGCAATTCTACTCTTAGACGCGCACCCTGCAGAAATGCTGACGCGTGCGTGTCAGGAAACGTACAGGAATGCGCACAACAGTTTGGTTCATAATTGTGCAAAACAGCCCAACGGCCGCTGGTGGCGGGATGGACACATAAACTGAGTTCTGTATCAGAACTCCATTCCAAACCACGGAACACCAGACAGCCGTGAGGCAGGAATGAAACGTAACTCCACGCAGCAACATGGACGAGTTCCAGACAACGCTGAGTGAGGAAGGCAAGACAGACGACGTGAAATGTGATTCTAAAAGTTCAAACACAGGGAAACGAAGCGATACCTATAATTGAAAAATATATACAAAGGTGCAACATATGTAAAGAGAAGCAAGAGAATGAATAGTTGAAGATTCGGGATGGGATTAGCTGGGGGATGACAGGGCTGGACAGGGCACCCTGGGGACTGTGAGGGGCCTGTAATACCCCATTTCTTAGGCTGAGAATGGGGTGCATGGATGTTCGTTTTATTCTTTGAATTGTATAATACATTAAACACATCTTTTATATATATGATGTACTTCACGGGGAGAAAGCATACATGCATGACTTTCTGAACATAATGGGGAACAGATTATAGGCTGACAGGAAAAGACTTTATCAGTAGGTTTACATTACATACTCTAATCAGAGTAATCTTTCGAGGCAGGATTCAGTGTGGCTTAGAAACAGAGCTTACAAAGAGGGACCAGAAGATAAACGTGACCTCACGTGAGAAACTATAAAAAGCCGTATAACATTATGAACTGCTCTTCTCTTCCTCACAAGTAAAAACCTCGATTACTTTAACTCGGTTAAATGAAGAGCTGAATGCAAGGTTTTATGCGAGCATACACCTCACCCTGCTAAAACTGACCGAGCAACAGAAACGCACTTCGTGTGGTTAAGGCTGACAGTGACCTCTAAAGGATACAAGGAAGTTAGACTTCTTCTGCGACACCACCTTTACCTGGCTTCACAAGGACGGGCATCTGCTTTGAGTTGCTGTTCATGGTACTGAATTCTTTCATAAAGCCATATGTAAATACTCACCTGTGTTTGACCATTTTTTGCTCATGGCAAAAATGGCTCAAGAACCTCGCGTAGAACAGGTGCATGACAGCATGTTCTTTCCCCCCGACGTAGAGGTCCACAGGCATCCAGTAGTCTGCCAAGGCCGGGTGGAAAGGGCTGAAAGGAGGAGGAATGGTCGGTCATTTTTTGAAAATCTGCTTTGCTACGATTGCATGAATTAGACGGTAATTTGCACATGCTCTGAAATAAATTAAGTCAGAGAAAAACTGTTTTTCTTTTTAAACTGTAATAATAGAAAAGCTTATGTAACAAAGGAGAAAAATGTCAGATCGATGTTAATTTATAAAATTTGTAAAAACTTGTTTCGGAAGCCGTAACTGGCATATTTTAACAAATGCTATTTTCACATAAAATGAGAACAAGAGGAAAACATACCAGCAGAAAAGGTATTTCTGCACAATGCATATTTGAATGTCTAGGTTTATTTTACTTTTTATGATAGAGAAATCGAGATTTTTAAGTTCTTACCAATAGGGGGCAATGTGGCATTTACGATGGGCCCTATCATGTAGACACTAAATGTTCGTTTTAAAACAGAAATCCAATCTTATTTTCAAAGTAGCCTTAAAACGCTGATAGCCAGCAAAAGCCTGTATGTGGCCTTGTGAACGCAACGAGCAAAGTCACGGTAAGTGTCATCACAGAGCCCAACGAAAAAGCGGCTCCCTCGTACTCCCCGGTCTTAATGGATCCTGGAGAGAAAGGGAAATGGCGCTTCGCTCTGTCTGCCGGCTAGGACTTGGGGGTACGCGTCTGTGAGTGTGCGGACAGGGGCGTGTGCTGGGGGAGGGGGGAGCAGTGCTAGCTGGGGACAGACTTCTTCATTCCCGAGGGAGCGCCCTCCCTGGAGACCATCCAAAGAAGTAAAACCTTTGCCTGTGGAGAATTTGTTCTCCATAATGTCAAATATTTATAAGTTCTCTTCCCCGCACTTCCAGGTCCCCCCCGCCCGGCTGCACCCCCTCCACCCTGCAGCACGGACGTGGCTGGCTCTGGCTCGGGCTGGAAGCCAGAGCCTGTCGCGGAGCAGGTGAGCCCGGCCCGCCGCCCCGCGTCAGCATCCTACTGCAGCGTGCTCTCGTCTCGTCACTATGCCGGAATTCTCGTAAAATTAAAAAAAAAAAAATTTTTTTTTCTTTGTGAAGAATGTTTCCCTAGAGAAATCCAACTGCTAATCCAGGTGACAGGAAAGAAAGGAAAATAAAAGATGGCACTCGGCCCCCAAACAGGTTTGGGACAAACTAAGGGGTGAGCTGCTGAACGGCGCTGCGGCTCGGCTCCGCCAGCCACCCCGGAACCACCCGGCGCCAACGCAAGCCGGGGCTGCGAGGGGACCGGTGTGGGCTGCGAGGGGACCGGTGTGCCGCCTGGTGTTCCCCCAGTGGGGCCGTGGGGGCCTCGGGGTGTCTCTCTCACCAGCGGAGGGTCCCCTTGCAGCTATTTAGGGTCCCTGTCATCCACGAGAAGCTCTTCCTTTGAACATTCTGAGAGGTCAAGAGCCTGAGTCCGCTCGCATCCTAAGCCAGTGGCTACTAAGTAAACAGAAGGCATCCGTCTAGCCCTTCTAGAAGGAAGACCCGGAAGCAGGGCCCCTGTGGGTTAGCTGGGGAGACCCTGCCACACAGTTGCCTCGCACCCCTTCTGCTTTTGCTGGCTACTGTTTACTCAAGATCCTACTCAAATGGCCCGAACTCAAAGGACAGAATCGCGACACCATTAAGGCGGGATTCGGGGTGGGCAGGGGCACCCACCTCCCTGGGAACACATTACTTTACAACCGACAAAGAAGAAAAGGGAATTTTTATACAGGGACCGCGGCGCTGCAGAAGGCTGGTCTCCCGTGGACGAGAGCATGCTGGCAGGCCCGCTGGGGCACGCGGTGTGGTTTATCCCGTGCCCTGCGACAGTTTTCTTTAGTTCTCATCTTCTCTTTACCTATCTACCTACTTTTTTTTTTCCTTATTTATCTTTTTTTTTGGTCAAAGAGACACAGGCACATAGCTGAAAAATGAGAAAGCAATGGAAGGTTTATGATGCGGAACAGTGGTCTCTGGCCTATCCCTTCACTAACCCCTCCGGCCCCCTGGTCTACCTCTTAGCCGCTTTTAATTCTTTCAGCTGTTTCTTCTGGCAGTTATTAAAAAATAGGTGTACACCCTCTGTCGATGTATCGATTTTAGAAATGACATGTTGACTGTACGGGATAAGGGGGTGCTGCTCAGCTCTGCCCTTCCCGCATAGCTACATCGCTGTTTTCAGACCTTTACAGTCGTACACACGCAGCTCGACGTGGGCCAAGGAGCATCACTACAGTACTTTCTTCCTTTTGTTTTTGATTTTTCTTGTACTTGGGATTCCCTTAGCTGTGAAGAATCTAAGTTAGTAACCTACATGCTCCCTTTACGGGGAGCTGTTTCAAGGAGTACGATCGACCGACATCTGCCAGCCGTTGGTCTTTAAATCCACCCAGTGTCCATGCCAACCACGCCATCCCATGGGGCGCGGACCAGAGCAGAGGCATTTCGGCCCGACTCAGCACTCTCCAGTGGACAAGCTTTGCCCGGGGCCTCCTGTCGGCCTGGCTGAGACTTTCTCAGAGCTGTACTGCGGTCCCAGGCTCTTCCTACCCGATCCTCCATCCTTCCCGCTCTCCCTTCACAGGTGTCAGACCTGCATCATCCCCTCCCACCCCTGCTCCCTCGCTCTCTGTTCTCCACAGGCCTTTCCCCCAGTAAATCTCTGCGCATCTAATTCCACCATGGTGTTTGCTTCTTGCAAGACGCCGACTGACACGTGCTCAAAGAACTCAGCAGGGCTCTACCTGTGGGTGTTCTGAGGGTCGGTGTATCTGAAGTAGTACCAAGCCGAATCCACGAAGGTATCCATCGTGTCTGTCTCCCTCCTGGCTGCTCCCTTGCATCTAAGAAATAAATGAAATTCATCAATTGGTTTCTCTTTAAATATTAATGCAGTTTTCTACCAGCTTTTGAGAAAGCTACAGCAATTGGCGTGAATTTAAAATGTCACAAGAACAATGCCACATCATACAAAGACAATGCAGAGAAAGCTCTCTTGTTGTATCAGACTGTACGTGATGTTTTAAAGAAATTTACAAAATAAAAGTTTCAGTCTTCAGTAATTAAAAGCCTTATTTTCTACTTCTCTGCATTTAACCTGGTAGAAGATCCAGCAAGAACAGGGCCAATGCCTATTTTATGATGCTGAAGAGGCAAAACCGATTTATGAAGAGAAGCTGAAACCCAAACGTAGTGAAAAGTTGCTCTGAAAAATGAACTTGAGTTTCCTTTTCATCTCTACTCTAGGGCGAGGGGGTCCACTAGGGTGACCTAGGAAGGTAAATCGCCTTGGAGGCCCAAAGGTGGTGGCGTGCTGGAGTCGACTCAAATCAGCTGTGACAAGTGGTGTCAACCTGGCAGGCCTCGGCGGGGGTGTATATGCCACAGAAAACACTACCACTCCGAAGCCCCCTCCGGAGAGCTGGTCAGTGCACACGTACAACACGCCGCTGCCCACGCACAGGTTCCTAACGGGGGAAAAGCAAGGCAGACAGACTTGCCGCTCAGGAAAGCGAGTGCACACGTACAACACGCCGCTGCCCACGCACAGCTTCCTAACGGGGCAGACAGACTTGCCGCTCAGGAAAGCAAATGCGGGAGGTTGTTGGTGTGCGAGGGGCGGAAATGAGAGGCGATCCTCACTCCGGGGCCTGAGACGCCTGGGGAGCACGAAGCTTCTGCAGGGGCCTGACCGCAGAACCAATTGTGAAGCAGATGCCTAGGGTGGTGGGCCTGCGGGGCTGAGAGAGCCTGGCGCCCAAAGCCACACCTTCTAGGAACCCACGAGAGAGGGCCCTTAGTCAAGAACCCACGAGAGGGGGCCCTTAGTCGAGGAGGGGGCTCAGCTCCCGTGAGGGGCCCTCAGGGCCTGGGTCAGCAGCAGATGGGTCGAGTCAGCTATCAGCAGGGACCCTTTGTGGCATTGAGAAGCCACGGTGGAACACAGCTGAGACTCGGGGCTCTTCCTTCTGAGGCACGGAAGTGGGACCAACCACCCCCGAGGCTACCTTCTTGGCAGCATGACTCCTTGGGGTTCTTGGAGGACAAGGAGGGGCATGAGGAGCCCCAAGAGGAAGTGATGAATCTTCTGCTAGTTTAGCTTGCAAGGACTTGAGTCTGTTTTTGAATTTTTAAATAAAAGAAGGGTTGCATTCGTATCTTGCATCTGTGAAGCAGTCCATACCAGCTTTAGAAATGTCACCAAAAGAAACAGGCTCTCCCCTCCTCCCACTTATTAAACAGATGTGGCAGAGCAGAGAGATGGGAGCCCCAGATCTGGGGGGGCTCTGAGACTCTTGGGGTCCTCTTGCATTTTAGTCAGGGGGCTCCTCCTAAAACAGTGTGGTCCCTGGGAGTAGGAGCTTTTCGGCCCCAGGGGCCTCCTGCTTGGGATCGCCTGGTGCTGCTCTGAGACACTGGTCTCAACAATACACCCCTAAACTAAAGCCAGGTCTTTCTATTTGGGGAGAAATCAACTAGAACGCAGATACTATTTGGGGAAACAATGGGAAGATAAAGGTTATTTCTTCTCCTTACCATCAGCGTACCCTTACGAGTCAGGAAGAAAATGCAGGACTCAGTTGAGGAAAGGCTAACACCTGCCATGCTGATCTTTTTCACAGTCACGTTCCTTGGGGTTCTTGGAGGACAAGGAGGGGCATGAGGAGCCCCAAGAGGAAGTGATGAATCTTCTGCTAGTTTAGCTTGCAAGGACTTGAGTCGGTTTTTGAATTTTTAAATAAAAGAAGGGTTGCATTCGTATCTTGCATCTGTGAAGCAGTCCGTACTGGCTTTAGAAATGTCACCAAAAGAAACGGGCTCTCCCTCCTCCCACTTATTAAACAGACGTGGCTGAGCAGAGAGATGGGAGCCCCAGATCTGGGGGGGCTCTGAGACTCTTGGGGTCCTCCTGCATTTTAGTCAGGGGGCTCCCCCTGGGAACAGTGTGGCCCCTGGGAGTAGGAGCTTTTCGGCCCCAGGGGACTCCTGCTTGGGATCGCCTGGTGCTGCTCTGAGACACCGGTCTCAACGATACGCCCCTAAACTAAAGCCAGGTCTTTCTGTTTGGGGGAGCAATCAACTAGGACGCAGATACTATTGGGGGAAATAATGGGAAGATAAAGGTTATTTCTTCTCCTTACCATCAGCGTACCCTTACGAGTCAGGAAGAAAATGCAGGACTCAGTTGAGGAAAGGCTAACACCTGCCATAACACCTGCCGTGCTGATCTTTTTCACAGTCACGTTGGACTTGAAGACAACGAGCACATTCTACTGCTGACACGGAAGACGCGAGATGGTAAGTGGGAGGGACAGATGGCGGTGATGGTGACGTTGCTATCGTTATTAGCTCCGACGGCAATAATACTATAAGACTGGGGACAGGCACTGAGCCAAAGGCTTCGAGGGCATTATTATCCCGTTTAATCCCCGGTAACCCTGGGGATTGTGAGGTAGACGTGACTCACGTCCCCATTCTGCACATGAGGAACTAGGGTTCGGAGGTTAAGAAATCCGCCCCAGGTCTTGGAGCTGAAGAGTAAGGGATCCACATCTGCTGACTGTGCTGTCCACTGGGCCGCACGGACTCGGTGGCGCTCGGCCCGGTGCTCACTCCAACTGACCCGGGAGCGCTGACCAACGTCAAGTCCCGGGCCCCGCCCCCAGGAGTCTGTGGCCAGGCTGGGAATCCATAACCCATGAGCGCTGGACACTACCACTGTCCCCAGCAGGAAAGCCCTGTCACCGTCACCGCTCACGAACCAAGAGGGTGCGCTGTGTCCCTCTTGGACGCCACGTTTCTCCCTCAAAGTGGCCCGGAGCGTCCTACGTCCCCACCCACAAGCCCCGCCGCAAATCCCAAGGCTGCCTGTGCGAGGCTCGGGAGGGTTGCTGGAGAGTCCTCGGTCAGCTGGCGGTGACCCTTCCATTTGCTAGGTGACAGCTTGCTAGGTGCCACTGTGCGGGATGATCACGTGTGCTAACTTAGTCTTCTGAACGGCCCTTGGAGGGGATTATTTTAGTTCCTGGTAAGGGAATCAAAGCTCAGAGCAGTCAAATGACTTTCCCAAGGCCACACAGCTTGTTACCAGGCAAGGCCGGGACCTGAATCCATGATTGTCTGAATCCCCAGCCTGATACGTGGTCACCTAATTATCAACCTCGTAACTCAGCTCTGTACTGGCAGAGGACTAAATTATTGTAAATCATCCTCATCATGATCTATAAAGCAGGGGGAAAAATGGCTTTTCCATAGAAAGAAGAAAAAAAATACTGGAGCTGGGTATCGGTTATTTATTTGTGTAATCAGCTAGTATAGCTTCATAAAAATGACATTTGGGACGTGCCAATGAACATAATCCCGCTTCCAAAATGAGAAGAAAGAAAATACGGTACGCTTCAGTATATTAGAGAATGAACCCCCTGAGCACACGTGCTGTGGTAGCTTCTACTCTGCTACTTGTGATAAAAATCTCCATTTTTACCACAGTCGCTGCATGAGAAAACTATAAGGCAAAGAGGAGGAAGCATCTTCTCTCGTCTCCAAGAAGCTCTCTGGAACAGAAAATGGAAGACGGTGGCCTTTTCAGGAAGCTACGATAAAAACGTGTAGCTTTTCCATCAGTTGGATCGGATGCTTCTGGGAAAGATGTGACACGACACTGCTCTGACACCTGCCCAGAGAGCAGACGGCGCCCCTGGCAGGGGCTGGGCCCCAGACTCCAGCACCTTCTCGCAAAGGTCTCAAAAGACCCGTGGCATTCTTCCCGGCCTGGCGGGAGTCCGGGGAAAGGGAGCCGAGTTAGTGCCAGGCGGGAGGAGGGACGGGCACAGCTGGGAGACGTGGTGGTTCCTTACCTAGGGCAGGAGCAATTCACCCACTCCAGAGCCGAGGCCAGCGGGGAGCCTCCCTTGCCAGTGAAGGATGTGATGCTGGGCAAGGTCACGGGCAAGTCGTCCAGGGGCACAGGCACGGGGCCGCAGGCCGGGCAGTGGACCATGGGGATCGGCGTGCCCCAGTACCGCTGCCTCGAGATCAGCCAGTCCTTCAGTTTATCGCTCGTCACGTGCCCACCCACTCTGTTCCTCCGAGCTTTCTCAGTCACGGCTAGAAACGCATCCTGCCGGCTCAGACCTGTGAACTGAGACGGGAAGGACAGAGACCCCGGTTCGCCCCTCGTACGAACGAGCTAGCTCCCCCGCCGCCACCCCGGGCTGCGGAATTCAGGTTTGGCTCTGTGCAAGGCCTCGTCACGACTCCTGTGAGACCTACGTGCCTGTGCCTTCGTGGGCCCCTTCCTCCCTAAGAAAATATTAAAATTCTTTATTTTATGACTGTATTGAATAAAGACAAATACAGTTTTTGACCTTAAAAGTTCACTTTTTTCTTCCGATTTTAAAAGAACTTGAAATCTTCTACGGGGCTCCTTAAAAGCATTGTGCTCTAGGCACTGTGTCCACTGGGTCATCTAACGGGTCAAGCGGCCCTGCTTCTGGGGCTCTCCTGAGTCCTGCCTCCAGAGGTGACCAAACATTAGCATTCAGCTACCAGTAAAGAGCTGCGTGATGTGTGTTTGTAACGACTACTCCTCTGTCGGGGAGAAAATATCCGGAAAAGAATAATTTGATATTACCCAAAAGCAGAAAGAATTCGGTCGAGTAGGGGAACGAACTGGGGCCACAGCCTGCAGAACCAGAACGACTCTCTTTGCACTCAAATGCTCCCCGTGTATAGATGGCAGAACAGAGCAGAAAAGAGAAATTCTCTTTTTACCTTTTGCTTTTCAGAGAACGAGATTAACGGTAAGAACCAGGACCGGCGTGGCTTGCCAGCAACCGGGATCGTGGGTGGCCTGGAATCAGACCAGTGAACATGGACGGCACAGCTGCCCTGTGCCGGCTTATGCTGGGCACTGGGGGGGCCCAAAGATAAACCCGATCTGCCACCTGGCCTCTAGGGGCACGAGGCACAGGGATAAGAAAGTACAGTTACGCTTATCAAAAGCAGCCCTTTTCATTAAGGGCCTGAAGTGTCTTCCGAAGGACAGAGGCATCTACCAAAGAAGCACGTACACTCTGGGGGGTTTGGGGGGGCGGGGCCATCTTCCGTGTCCCTCACTCCTACCGCCACATGTCATTGTGGTAAGAATGCTCGTGAGATCTCTTAAAAGTCGATCGTCTCCATGAGCCACCGTTTTTACATTGCGGAAGCTCATGAATGGAAGTTTTTACTATGGATGGAAGGGGTCGTTATTCTCTGGCAGAAGGGTCCCCAGATGAAGCTCCGTGACTGTGATGACCACACTATTCTAGGACTGGGCTCGACTTAGAGTTGATAAACATCTAGATCTTGAAAAAGAATATTATTGGGTTTTCACAGATTGAGAGACAAGGCTGCAAGAGTGTGGGGAACTGTGAAATGGCAGGTTGTAATTTGTAATTTGCAGCTACAGGAACATGTCTCATCAGACTCACATCAAAGGTCATGGATTTGGAAGTAAGTGCTTGGGCCCAGGCCACAGGGCACCAACCTCAGCAGAGCCGCTCAGCCTCTCCGTGCCGTCTGGCGAGGTTTCAATGACTTCAGAGTAGGATAGGCCCAGGGTTTGTGCTACGAGGGTGTCCTCTGCGCTGGTGCAGGGAATTCCTGTTGAGAGAGGAAGAAACACAAAACGTCTCCTTTGCAAAAGCCCGGATCGCGAACTGATTGACAGCGCTGACACTCAGCCGTGGCTTCTTACAGGAGACTCTGTCTTTGTTAGTTAGAGACGTTATACAAGCACCTCGCGATCACTCGGGGAAACCCACCACCCTAACACCACCAGTTTATCGCATCGGTGTTACTTCGTTTAGGGCTTTTTCCTTGGCTTCGTTGCTTTTTAAAAACAGTTGTGATTCTAAACTACACGATTTGGAGTTGCTTTTTATCACTGAAAGAGCAAATCACCAGCATCTGGGGAAGCTCCTTCTTTGAACTCCTCCGGCGACAGAGGACGGTGACGTTTCCCCCCGAGACTCAGGGCTGACGCCTCCATTATTTCATAGCGCCCTGGAAGAACCCACACGGGTGGGAAGGCGAAGGCTGGCCGCTGTGTTCCTCCACGCTGCGCTTTGTTCCCAGGGGCAACGGTACGCTCTGCACAGACATTTATTTTTCAACCCACACATGCCCTTGAGGAGGTGGGGGGTGGAGCATGAGTAAATCACGCACCCAGAGGGCCCAGGCCTGCCGTTTCGGCTTCCGCCGGCCATACAAACCGGGCTTTCAGTTGTTGGTTGCGTAAGGCAGGCTTTCTCCTTGGCATTATTAACATTCTGGACTCTTCTTTTCAGTGTGTGTGTCGGGGGCGATACTCTGTGCATCGTAGGATGCTGAGCTGCATCCCTGGTCTCTACCCACAGCACTTCCCTGGTTGTGACGGACAGAAAGGTCTCTAAAATTGCCAGCTGCCCCCTGGTGGCCACATCGCCCCTGGGCGGGCACTCCTGCTGCAGGGCCAACTGTGGAAACTGCTGCCACCCTCGTGGCCCCGACACGTCTCGTGGCAACTGAGAGAGACAAAACTAAGCGTGATGGACAAGATGTTTCAGTCAAATTTCCGTGAACAGCCCCTCTGGAACACGGCCCTAAAAGGCTGATTTAACGTTCGGGAGACGCGCTCTAAAGCTCCGCGGGATGACGGAAGGTTCGGTGCTGTTCCAGCTGAGGTTATTGACAGAAAGCACCTAATGAAGCAGAGAAACGTTCACAGTGGACTTGAAGATTGCTGATGGATGAGGACAAACAGCCAGCGATAAATATTACCGAAAAGTGTTCACCGTTGAGAAGGAGAAAGAGCCATTTATACATTCCAAGGGTGGACGGCTCGTCGTAACGAGGAGTAATATTCAAACGCAGACACTGTGACCCAGAACTGATCTGACCACAGAAAGAACGCTCTGGGTCGCGGTGCTGGTCACCCGGGGCTCAGGGGGATGTCAGCCGTGTGTCACGTGTGGCTGTGAAGAGCAAACACACCGCCTGACCTTTGTTTATTCCTGTTTTCTGTTCTCCTTGGGGGGTGGGGGGGGGCCGGGAGGCAATAACTGGGAAGACGTTAATTATGTAACTGTGGGACATCAGGACAACGGGAAAAATGATTTGCCATGCACACTTGAAAAATCAACATTTCTTCCCTTCAGAACTCTCAATATTGTGTCAGTACTCTGACTCAAAATACTAAAAGAAAAAAAACACACATCAACGAGAGCTTCCTTTCCTGTTTATCTTGGCCAGCTGTATTAATGAATTCTACTAATTAAAAATGCACAAGAGTAGTAGAAGGAATTATTTGCTTTAAGCAACACCCTTTCTAGGTTTAAATTGCCAGAAGAGAATGACTCGACCGGCTTAATATATTTTTCTGTGTTGGTGTTTCTTCAAATCACTTTGTCAAAAACAGATCTGAGAATTGTAAGGGAAAACATGATCTTGATAAGCAACGCTATTTCTCATGGGTGCTAGAAGACGGAGCGTGGAAATAACTTTCTCTGCAGGGCGCTGGTACTTTAAAGACAGGCCGGAATCTACAGCAGGAACGCTGAAGAGAGAGGTGGGGCCCGCCCCGAGGGCAGAGGACGTGGCTGTCTTCCTTCGGCTGTCATCCCTGGGTTCGGCCCCAGACTTCCTGTTAGGTGACAATCGCTCAGAACTCTCACGAATGAGTAACGCCGCCAAGGGTATCCGACGTACAGTTCTAAATACGCCTTCAGTTCTACTGCTGTTTCACGATCCTTTTCTTGAATAGCTCAAGTTCACCTCCTCCGCAGAGTCTTCACCAACAGCCCGGCCTACATGGATCATCTGAGCGCCGAACCCCCATCTCAGCAGCTGCTGTTGGTTCTACGAGCTCTGAAACAGGGTTTTCAGCTGAGCTGTACCATTCTCCACATCAGAGGTACAAGCCTCACCAACTGGCTCTGCTGGCAAGATCCGCAGGCCAGACATCTTTTACTATTCTCAAAAAGCAATGAGCGAGGTGTGACATACTTCATGTTTTCAAAATGTAGATCTGAAATAAGAGACGATTAAACAAAGGGGCATTCATTTAAGATCGTGGCATCAGCATCATGGCACCTTTCACTTGACAGCAACGGGCTAGAATTCTGATTTTAAGCCCGCTAAATACATCTTCCTGATCGCGTTTTAAGAGCTACTCACCTATTTTTGAATCCAGAGAGCCCTCAAAGTCAGCTTTGGCCAAGATAATGACAGGAACCTCCTGCTGGGTGAGCATGTTCACAGCCCTCACGGGGGTGAGGCAATCTGAAAATGAGAAGAAAGAACTGTGGACGCCCGTCAGCTGGGGCCACCCGAATCTCAGAGGAGTCAGGTGAGAAAAATAAGCATTGGAACTTCTGTGTTTTGTGCTAATTGGTAAAGAATTTGTTCTTTGAAGGTATTAATAGATAATTCACACCAGTGGACAATCAAAAGATTAAACAAATACACAAAACCGTTCACCCATGTTAATCACGAAAAGAAATGAAAACAGCATTTTTACTTTCCAGATGGTGGAGAAAAAAGACATTCCCATGCCACTTCCCACCCCCCCCATTTCCTTTTGAAAAATACCTCAAAATACAGAAAAAGGAGCAACAAAGAAATTTATCCATGGTAAACCTAGGAGATTTCTGAAATTCCAAACAAAAGAAGGAGCACTGGATAATTGCAGAACAGAGACAGAGGGAAATCCTGGGGTGGCAGATGTGCAGCAGAGGCCTACAGCGTGACTGGGTCAGATCTGAGCAGGACAGAGGGCCCCAGGAAGCATCTTCAGGATAAAAAGGGGATCGATACATGATCTGACAAGTCGGAGTGTGTAGTAAACTGTACTGAGAGGAATTTTAAAGAGCTTCTAGGGGGCTGGGGGAAGACTTTGCCATAAATTCAAAGAACATGAAGCAAATGAAAAAAAAAAAAAAATGAGGACATCGCGAACTTCAGGAAAAATCGAAAGTTATGTGAAAAAGAGGAAAATGTAATCCCAGTCTACTTGGCTTAGTTGTGAACAATGTTTATGTGGTCATAATAAAATACTTAATTGGGAACTATCCAGTGTGTCATCTTAAAGGAAGCTTGTTAAAATGACCACGGCAGGGAGACAAGCCAGACCTACGTGAATCTTCACTAAAATATCTGTAGAACCAACTGGAAGCATGAAGACAGATAAAGTCCCAAAGGAATCAGAGAGGAGAGGACGAACTCAATTAGTGGGTTCGCTTGAGCTCGTTGTAACACGAGCATTTAATAAGTTATAATCTGTGAACTCTTAACTGTTTACGCTTGCCATGTTGTAAGACTTTACGTAATTATCTAAAATATGGGGTTTTACAAACCTCAAAGTTAAAATAAGCCTAGGAAATAGGATTTATTTTTCGAGGAGGTAAAGACAGGCTCCGTAGGCATCTACGCCGGGTCTGGTCTTCCTTCCCCTTGCGTGTGGGGAAGACAGACGCGATGGGGTACGGTGGGGACAGAGTGAAACGCAACCCACACGGGTCTCCGCAGCTGAGGTCCAGCCAGCACCCACGGGACCGCGGCTGGGGGGCACCTGCTGCCTGAGCGGCCTGAGGGCTGACACTTCTCAAAGTGGAGACCCATGTTTTTCTTTTTTAATTTAGTTTTTAGATTTATTTTTTTCAATTACAGCTGACAGCAAATATTCATTTATATTAGTTTCGGGTGTACAGCATAGTGGCGAGATGGATACATAATTTACAAAGCGATCCCCCTCCCGTAAGTCTAACACTCACCCAGCACTATACACAGTTATCACACGATATTATTGACTATATCCCGTGCTGTACTTTACATCCCCGTGACTAGTTCGTAACTGCCAATTTGTACTTCTTAATCCCTTCATTTTTTTTGCTTATTCCAGGTCATCTGAGCACAGAAGCTTTTCCCTCCACATGATGACTATTAACATGCGCTGAAGGGATGCTAGTAGAAACAGTTTATTTAAAGAACAATTACCTACAGGACTCTGTTCCTCACCCTTTCGTCCCACCCCCATGCTGATACTACAGAGAGAGGAGAAACAGAACAATGAGTCATTAATTAGTCAACGCTCTGGGGCTTCCAGAGAGATGAGGTTCCAGCTCTCCCATGTGTCAATAAAAATGGGGTTCTAAGTTACCCTGCAGGTGACCTCATTTACCCTTTTGGCAAAAAATCCATTGTGTAGACTACTAGTGACTCAGAGCTGAAATGCGTGGTCCCAAAGCCGCAGGGTTTGAATATTCTCATATTAGGAATGTCAGAAAAGACTCCAGGAAAAGCCCGAACCGCTTCTAGAAACTCTGACGCTGTTTCTCTCTTGATGCTTTTTATGGTTTTTCTAGTTCCTACGAGCCGGGCTTACATAACATGACGGAAGTCAGAGGCGGTCAGCTGAGAAAGCAGGCAACGTCGGAGGTTCCGGAACACTCGAATTCAACAACCCCACAGGGAAGGACCTTACTTTTTTGCTCTCTTAAAGGAATCTGGGCCAAATTATGGGACGCTGAGCAAAAAAGCGTGGATTTAGTCAATAACATCAGCCACCCAGTCGGCCAAGCCAGAAATCAGAATGTTGCCTCTGCCTTTGCCGCCGTCCAGAGAGTTTTCAGAGCTGTTCCGGCCCCTCCATCTGACGACCCCTGGTCTGCGGTTTACACCATCTCTCATCTTACCTAGTGGGGTGCACGGGTCCTCCTGCCCCCACCTCTGCCATTCTCGCCTGACCCTGTCCACATGTGTCACCGTCCTCCTCGGAGCCGGTCACAATTGTGTGATGCTATCACTTCTGCTTCAACGCTCAGCACCCTCAAAACCTGACGCATGAGGAAAAGCCGAGCCCCTTGTCTGATCTGAGCCAGCTGGTGATGGCGAGTGACAACGGTGATATAATGTTTAGGTTTAAAATGTAGCCTCGAAGGCCGAAGGAGGCATAAATCCATAGTCATATCGTAATTTCAATTCACCTTTTGGGAAAACTGCATTACATTCAAAGCAATTTGGTCTCACATGACTAATGCCATATGTCAAAACCTGGAGACTTGATGGGCAAATTAATCTAGAGACTTTTAATAAATTGACGGCTGCAAGAAGACTGTTTCCACTCTGAAAATGAGAACTGGAATATTCAGAGCCAAGTGTAATAGTCCACTTGGAATTATTTCGGAGATTATTAAAAAGAAGGGAGAAGGAAGCTAACAAGCCATTCGGTCCCAAAACGAAGCGGCGAGGCGGAGTCAGATGTGCCGACGCCCATGTGATCACGAAAACACTGTTCTCTGCATGTGCTGAAAGACTCTAATTTCTTACATATGAAAATGTTTTTAACTTATACAGTGCCTGTATGTCAGGAACGCCATTGTGTATAACTCATGGCTCATTAATCCCCTCTTACTATTACTTCATTCTAATTTATGTCCCCAAATTAACCATAAGAAAAAAAAATCTAAGGGCTAGATGTTTACATTTTTTAGTTTTTCATTTCTAAATATTCTTCAACCATCGCAGCCCTGAATCTCGAAATGCCCATGAGAGTAAAAAACTCTGAGTTTTCTCTTTAAACTAAACGATTGAAAAGAACCCAATATTTTGGAATAAGTAGGAAATAAAATGGAAATAGCTATGTTAGACTTTATAAGCACACACTCGGATTTTAACTCAGAAGAGTCTGTCTTTTGAGTCTGTACCTGGCCTTCTCTTGGCCAATATACAACAGCAAAAGAGATGAAACCAAGTTATATGCGTCTCGTGCCAGAGTGAATCACATATGCACCTGGCTCCCCTGTTACAACCTCGGGAAGGCATGACTGTGAAGGGCCACCTGTGTATCCCCAAGTGCTTAGCATGGAGCAGGCTCCCAGCAAGTGTCCACTGACTCGAACCCTGGCTTTCGTGCTGTAAGTGGACAATGGGAAGTCCTAAGCAGAGGTATGGTGGGATGACATCATCTAGCCTTCCATCCTGATGTCAGGAAATCCTTTGGTCTGGTTAGCTGAAGAACAGCACTTTTTAAAAAACAGCATCACCAACCAAAACATTTTCATGAGTTAAACAATTCAAATAGACGTCAATAATTCAGACTGTGTGTTTTGGGTTGAAGTTTATATTCTATGGAAAGAGAATGGGAGTGAGATTTTTAATAGAAATATTTACGTCTCTCTGGAGACCTCCTTCTAATCCACAGGGGACTTTCGCCCGTCCACGACCCACACCCCCTCCCTCGCAAAGGTCCTCTGAGTTCACTTCGGAGAGCTCCCCTTCTCATTGGTTCATCTCAGTGGTCTATCGGGAAAGGTACCTGGCCTTTCCTTAGCCAAGAAAAAGGCCAGGGGGCCAGAGTTATGCCAACCAGACA